GGGGGGGGACATAAAATAAAAATACATTCAGCTCAAATAGCTGGTTTGTCTCAGTTAACCAGCTGGCACTGAGGCTCTACTGCTGTAAAGTACAACTAATGCAAACTGTTGATGGCCAGGGAGATTAAAATGTGCTTTTTCTACTTTAGTGACAGTGATTAGATGACAAGATTCAACACTTTCTGCATGTATGTCAATTAAACATGAAGCCCGAACCTATGGTAGGTTAGCAGGGATTCGATTTATTACTGTAAACAGCTCATCTGGTTTTAATTCATTTAACTCCCACGTTTTCCCTTTTAGTTTACATTTAAACCATAAAAAAGTAAAACATGTGCTAGACCCAGATTAAAGAATATTTATTTATTTTGTGTCATTTCTCTTTGTCAGACCATTTTTACACAGGAAACTGTCATGGACTACCCTTTTATAGAGACAACTGGATCAAAAAGTAGTAAATACTCTAAGGTGCAAACCTAGCTTCATGAATCCTGAATAAATATTTTTTATTTTATTTATTCGTTTCTGTACACTTGAAGCTGCTTCGGCTTCATGTGTACTTTTTAGTTTTGAGCGTTGGATAAACATCGTTATCAAAGGTTAAGAAAGAGTTCAAACATATCTTAATGACAAATTGGAGATTTTAAACAAGAGATGCACCAAAAATCTGCCCGTTTGTTTTTTTTAGCTTGACTGGGTCTAAAATATATGAATTCACCACATCCAAGCCCAGCGGTTAAACACCGACAGCAACACCCTTCAGGAAAAGTAGTACAGCGAGGAAAACTCAACACAAACTAATTTCTATTCGGGGTAATAAATGGAGAGAACATCTTAAGCGTTTTATATTAAATGGGGAGTGAGATTATAGCAGCTAACAAGAAGGTTAAACATACCAAAGCACAGTCGCCATGTATTTGCTTTTTGTGCTTCCAACCTGCATGTGGAAATGATCTGGAAATGTCAGCAGCATTTTAGAAATTTGATTTGTTTTAATTAAAAAGTTTGGGTTTCCACAACCTGAGTCACATATAGCATCTCATCCAGTAAATGTTAGATTCAGTTGAACTACAGAAATCGGATGATTTTAAAGCCCGGCCTTAATCTTAAATTACTCAAATCCAAAAGAAAACTACATTAAAAATGGCCCTCAGGAAGGTTTTAACCGGCTGGTAGTCTGACAAAGCCTGCCTTATCCTCATCCAACATTTGATGCTACGTCGGAAACAGTTCACCGGCGCCAAAGTGCGTCAGTGAGAACTCAAAGAGGCGGTAAGCATAAAGGTTTACAAGCCTAGACAAGGGGTCAGCAACCTTTACAACCCTACCAGTCATTACTGCCTTGGCTCCAGATAAAGAAACTTTTAAGAGCCACAAAAGCACCAAAAGACAGTTTATTACCTATAACTAGAAACTTCAGAGGAAAATCATCCAGGAATAATAGCTAAAACTAGTAATACAGGACAAATTATTAATTACCAGAGCAGAGGGTTTAAGGTGCCACAGGTTGCAGACCCCCGGGCTGAGCAGGAACCAGCTTATCCTTAATAAAGCAAGCTAACACCATTTCTCTCTGATCGTGTGCCATGCATTAAAAAGTAAGACTATCTTATTTGGACGTCATACTTTCACACACACACACACACAGCGGAAACATCTGTACACTTCAGCAAAAATAATAAATGACTGCTCATAAAAATAAAAAAAAAAAGAAGAAAACGGAAAACTTGTAAATAAATGTTTTAAAGAGAGGTCCGAATTGGTTAAAATCAATTATGGCAGATCAAATTTAAAAATGACAAATATTAGAGGTTGAAACAAATCCCAATAACTGATTGGTGCATCTCTGATTCAAGTTAATTATTAGAAGGCCATTGTTTTAGGTCAGCATTCCCTTAAGCTCATTGCAAAAGAAAGATTATTATTGGACACTAATATAGGCTCATAGGGCATGTTCTTTGGCAGAGTTTACAAACAAGTCAAAAATAACCTTGAATAGGATGAAAATAAGCTTTTTATGAGAGCATCGGCACTGACCAGGCAGGCACCTAGAAACAGCCCAGTGGTGAGTGGATAAATAAAAGGCAGCTTCATGTGAAGACCTGTAAACACAGTAATGAGTAGAACTCTGCAAACTTTCTCAGGAACCAGAATTTAAGGACCTAAATAGACTGAGGATGCCTGCTACCTGTTCACCATAACATACCTCACACACAACAGGTGCTGTTCAGCTGTGATAGAGTGCAAACACTGGATGACTAACTGGTGAGCAGGGAAAACATGCAGAGGCATTTCTAAAAGGGAGGGGGAATACAAATTAGTTTGTGAATCACCATAGTGAAAAAAAAAAAGAGAGAATCTGACCTACTGTTTGTGTGAGCATAAAGGAGGGGGGGGTGTTTAGAGATGAGAAACTCAACGTGACGCTTCGACGTGACCGATGAGCCATTTTTAAATCATACACAAGAATACAAGATAAAGTGAGATATGACAAAAAAATGCAGTAAATAAGTAATAGTACCTGCCTTGTTCATATACAAATCAAATGAAATGAAAACAAGTAGCTAGAATACTTGTCCTATCAAAAATATGTAGCTTTGGTAAACAAGTTACGAAGAGAACTGTCGTCTGAACAAAAGGATGTGAGAGATCAGTGTGTAGCACATTGGGCCGTGTGACGGTGAGTACGTCTCTCTGTTCTGAGGCTATAAAGGCAACAAAACGAGAAGCAGGCAAAAAAATAAAAAATAAAAGGTTCCCAGCTTTTATCCGACCTCTCCCACCGGTCCCCAGCTGATGAGGAACAGAGACAGCGAGAGGCGGCTCGGATACTGAAAGGAAGGAACCTGCCGTCTTCACTGTCCCGAGCACCGTATGAAGTGTTCTGTGGTAATGTAGCAGCATTGTAATGGTCTGAAGAGGACAGCCTCCTCCAGAGCAGAAGTGGAAGACTACTCGTATCCTCCTTTCTTCCAGAAGTCCCCTCAACCCCTTCCATTCGTTGCAGAAAAAGACTGCTCAGACATATTTTACAACACTCCTTGTTGATCCGTTGAGAACAGCACAGGGAAAATATTTTGTTCTTTCTTCCATTCCAGCATCATCTGACCGAGCTTTTTTTTCCTTTATGTTTTGATTCCAGGCAGGTATTTATTTATCCACGAAAAACCTATCGTTCTCCAATGCAGCCTTTTTCTCCCATCTGACGCACCGCTCCTCCGTCCTTCTACTTGCAGATATTTCTCGACTCCTCGCAGGTCATTCCATTTCTCCAACCTGAAAGTTTTCCTTGTATCTCCTTGTTGCAAACTCTTCTCTTCCGTTTTCTGTTCCTGACTTTCAATCGACCTTCTCCACCTTCCCAACAATCTTCTCCTCAAAGATGGGCAGAATCGCATCATCGTCGCGGACCTCCTCGAACACAACCCCACAGTCGAATTCATCACTTACTTTCTTAAAGTAGAACCTAAAGATAGCAGTCAGAGAACAAAGTCAGTTAGTGCTTCTGAAGAATCAACACCAACAATAAGGCTTTAGAACATCTTAAAGAGGGAAACTGAAAACATTATTTCATTTTAATGGGTTTATATAAGAGACTAACAGGAGGGACCAGAAAGCACAGAATAGGAGGAGACCTTATGCACTGATTAATTTTCCTTTCTACAAATTAACATCTAAACAGAACCAACCTTGCAGTTTTAGGGAATGCTTCACCAGCTTTGTACACTCAAACTCTTTGTAGGTTATAATTTGTATAAAATAACTGAAGCTTCATCAGAGGGGCAGTGAAGCATCAGTGAAGCATCAGTGATCAGACAGATTTTATGGGGGAACTGAGTCAGGACTCTGCCGCCAATGTTCTGACACAAACATGCCTTAAATAATAGACGATTTTCGCAAACTTTGGAATAGTGTGTTCCTCTCCACTTAAAGGCAAGACAAGGCAAATTTATTTGTATAGCACAGTTCAGTACAAAGACAATGCAAAGTGCTTTACATGATTAAAATATAGGAAAATAAAACAGAATCAAAGCAAGTAGAAAAAAAAATAAAAAATGCAGAAACAAAAAAGAACTTTAAAAACAATTGGACTCAAGAAAATAAAAGAGTTGAACTAATGTATCAGTTGAACTGTTTAACTAGAACAGTTGAAGGCAATCCTAAACAAATGTGTTTTTAGTCTTGATTTAAAGGAACTAAGGCTTCCACACTTTTACAGTTTTCTGGAAGTTTGTTCCAGATAATTGGAGCATAGGAACTAAAATACACAAGCACAACCCTGTACCCCGCTCCCGAGAGGATGCGTGCAAGAGCATGCATGTGCCCATTTCTCCTCATGCACGCTCTGTTTAAAATTTGTAGTTTGCATCACTCATACAAGCTTACTTTCCAAAAGAAGATTTTTCTACTATGTCAGACTCACCACCAGTAAGTGAAAATGGGGAGGAGCATGTAGGATGGCCTTAGGTAAGCTGTAGGTCTAATTTGTGTAGTTGGTCTTCATGCTGTATGTTCACTAATCTAAATCATTACAAATATGTATTAATACCAATACCAAATGACATAAATGTATAAGATTTATAAATCAATTTAATTCTAAAAGGATTTTTGATGTGCTGGGTTTTATTCTTTGAGTGTCAGCATAACCACCAGTCTCTCTATCACTTCTGAAGGTAGCCATGGATTCTCACCTGTAGTGGCCCTTTTTGGTAAGCAGCTCTTTAAACTGGCCCAGAGTCACCACACGGCCCTTCACCGATGTCCGGTATGGGATCGGCTCTCCACAGAAGTAGTACGCTACGGTCATGTTCTCGCACACCTGACGCTTCCCAGACTTGTGTCTAACAGAAAAGGGGAAAATCCTCGTTAAACACAAACATATAAGGATCTCAAGCAAAACTGATTTCAAAATAAAAGAAGACTCGTACTTCTGCTTGGCCTGTAGTAGAGCAGCCCTTCTCCTCTCCTCCTCCAGCCTCCTTCTAGCCTCCTCCAGCTGCGTGAGGGGGTTGGGAGCAGGGTTGGGTGGCATAGCCGGGTCCTGGATGAAAGGATGTGACGGCTGAACCTGAGTGGATGATGAGCCGGGGATCGCTGCCGACACTGAGGAGGAGTTGTTACGCAGTTGAGCGGAGACCCAGGGGTGCACAGCTCCAGGTCGCTCAACAGAAGTCGGACGTGGAGAGTCGGTGCTGGTTCCTGTTCTCCTGGAACTGCTGGTGCTGCCACTGAGAGTACGAAAGAGGAGAACATTCATTGGTTAAAGTCTTCTTTGTACTTTCAACAAGGTGAATATCTGCTCTTGAAACCTAGCTACAAAAGAATAAACTTAAGAAGAAAACAAAAATGTTGTTCAGTCGATCCCAGGTTTTCCTCACCCATGAGAACTCTTCCTTTGCCTGTCTCCATCCATCATCCACTGCAGAATCTTCTGGTTTCTCTCCAGATCCTCCACCTGAGTACCTGGATACGCCTGGGTTTCCAGGCCACGCCCACTATCGTCACCTTTGCTCGATGTTTCTGTCTTCTTATTACCCCGTCGGGACATTGTGCTGCCTTTGCTACTGCAGAGATAATAAAACAAACAACTCGAAGGTCAATTTAATAAGTTCAAACTGACATTTTTAGGGGGGTGATCACAATTTCATACATACCTGTAACCAATGCCCTCAAGAGTGCTGGCTCCAGCTCCGTCTGCGTAATTCCTCCGACCTGCGTATTGGTTGGCTTGGTCTCCGTTCCAGAGGAAGTTGGGCAGAGGCCGACTTCCCACCTCCTCCTGACCATCTCTTCCTCTGTGGTGGTATACCTGCTTATGATGGTAAACGCCTGAAATAAAACCAGAGCAGACCTCAGTGATTAGACCAAGGGCGTAAGTTTGATTTCAACTTTGGTATGGACACTATTGGTGTTTAGTTTCATTGGTCTGATGTCATTGGTCCTATGCAAAAATATGCATGCTCTTTTTTATGCTTAATGTGAGCATCAGGGCACATTTTGTTTAAAGAGAACAGCAGCATTTCTTGCTACATTAATACAAATCTCATAAGCACTATACGCACACTAGATGCTGTTTATTAATGTTAAAACTGGCTCTGACGTATGTGGAATTAGAACTTTTTCCACTTTGAAAAGGTTTGCATGCTATCTAATTATCAATTGATTAATCAAAAACATAATAGACAGATTCATCAATTTGCAAAATAATCATTGGTTGCAGCCCTAATTTTATGGTAAGATTCCAAACACATTTCTTCCATAATACAGCACTGAAGGGCAGCTGCTTCACCTTGAGGCTAACCTGCATCATTACCGTATATCTGGGTTTCCTACAATAACATAATGTTTCTATTATACAAATGCATTTTTAATAGTAAAGGGTTAAATGTAACAACCTTTTATCATCATCCTATATTGCTTACTGTCTGGCTGTTTAAATAGCTCCTTATGTCTATTTTATTTTGTAGTGGCATCATCTACAAACACAACACTAAGAAACAAGTTTATTCAAATATAAAATACGTTTTAACAATAATAAAAGACAATATAACACAATCTTATCTGTAATGTAATATATCCAGAATAAACAGCCAGATTCAAGCATTATTTACCAGAAATTAATGTTTGTTCTAGTTTACTTATGAACTGTGTATACAATCTAGAAAAATTAAATCATTGTAAATAGAGTTCCTCTTTTTGTCTTTATACTATTTCTAGAAGTAGAAGTCAATTAAATAGCACTATTTTTTTAATGTGGAAAGCAGATCTTTAGCATCCATCTCATGTTATGTTCTACATTATAAATACCACCTGTTATATATACCTGAACTGCCATCAAAAATGAAAACAGCAACAGCAAAGAAATATTAGTGAAAGGGATCAGAGATGTTGATAGTTTACAGTCTTTGTTCATTTTAACAGCAGTTTTCAGAACCCCTGTCTGACTAAGAATAATTAGTTTTCCTTTGCCTGCAGCTACCAGGCAGAGGAGCTGCAAGAGGAAAAGAAGCCACTGCTGCAATCATGCTGTATCGGAAATTATAAACATGTTGTTCACATCAAATTATTGGTAGGGTCAATTAAGTCGATCCAAAATGTTGGTAGGGACATGTCCTTATGCAAATCTACGCCCATAGATTAGACACATCAAATGGGTTCAATGCACTTCAGCCCAACTATGAGGGACTTCCTTACAGGAATTAACAACACAGAAAATGTTGTTGTTTGTTGATTGTTGGCATAAATGAAAACACGTTTCAAATAAAGTGATCAGGAGTCTTGGTATTTAAAATAATCTGAGGAAAAAAAAAAAAACTGAGAATGGAAAAATGTTTCAACATCTAGACTGAAATAATGTACCCTGTAGAAAATAGTTTGCGATTCATAATTTCATACCAGTTTTGGGATGAAGATGATAGAAAAGCACAACATTTAAGAATCTGATTCTAGAAAGGTAGTGAGTGTTAACATGGAAAATGTGTAGGACCTCTGAATGAGCTACCTTTAGCCCCCACAGCTGGCAGACTGTGCCCCCCGCCTCTGTGCGAGGGGTAGTGAGGTGGCCCGATTCCACCGTCTGGTGAGCGGGATGACTTGGGGGGAGTGTGTCGTCCTCCTCCTCCTAAGCTGCTGTTGGTAGCCCCTGGTGACTGGCAGACCGGCGTCTTCATCACCCGCTGCACGTGCTCATCTAAAATAGACTCTGGGTCATCTTCGTGAGGGTCCTCCATGGCAACCAGGCCGCCGTAAGTGGCGGCTGTTCCTGTGTTGGCAGTGGTCTCTGAATAACGGGCACCGTAGAGAGGAGGAAACGATGAGGGGAGGGAGAGTGGTATACTGTGAGAGGACATGGAGGTTGTCACGGAGACGTCAGCATCATCCCCTTCTTCTTCCTGTATAAAACAGAGAACAAATGGTCAAATTAATCTGTATTGCCCAAAGCTTCCCTGCTAACAATCTAAATATCAGCTTGACAAATAATTTTGAGCCAATCTTCAACCCACAGTCACAGAATCTCAAGTCTTATAAACAATGACACAAAGCTTCTAGAACTAGAGACATACTTGGCATAGATATGTGCATGCTGAAAGAACCCAGTTCCATGTTATCAACACCAGTAACCCGAATTGCCAATCTCCATTATTGAGGCAGTACGTCCAAGTGTGTGGAAGTCAGCTGCTGTAGTTCCAATCTTCAAAAATGGAGATCCACTGTCAGTGGACAATTACAGACCATCCGCATCTTACCTACAGTGTCAAAAGTTGCAGAAAATCTGATTGCCCAACAAATAACACATTTAAATACCACAGAATTTCCCCTTCATTCAATGCAATTTGGTTTCAAAACTCAACACTCCTCGGAAACTGCTCATTTATCTTTCATAGAAAATATCAAACATTTACTGGATAAAGGTGGTGTGGTTGGAGCTGTGTTTCACGATCTAAAAAAAGCCTTTGACACTATAAACCATAAAATATTATTAACCAAACTAAGCAAATTTAACCTCTCCTCAGATCGGATTAAATGGATAGAATCATATCTTTTAAATCGATCACAGTCAGGATCAGTGATCATCTCTCACTGCCTCTCGTCATGTCCACAGGGGTACCTCATGGTTCTATCTTGGGGCCTCTGCTATTTTCTCTCTATATAAACGACCTCCCCTCAGTTTGTTCAGATGTCTGTATCCAGATGTACGCAGCTGATACTGTGATTTATACCCATGTTAAAAACACAAAACAAGTTGCTGAAAAACAAACAGTCTATGGTCCAAGTCTCTGAATGGCTGAATCAGTCCTGCTTAAAACTTAATGTAAATAAAACAGCTTCAGTGTGCTTTTTTAAATCCAAGAGTCCAAATCATGAGTAAGATATTTATGTGACACAAAATTGTGTCAGAATTCAAATTCCCTAAGCATCATAACTAACTTTTAAATCCCAGAAAAAAAAAAGGTGTGCAATAGAGTCAAAATTCAATATTACAAATTTCCATTTCATAAGATCACACTTGTCACTCCAGGCAGCTAAAATGTTCATGTACAGTATGGTTCTGTCCCGCATCCCTGAACGGTTTTACAACCTGGTCACAGGCCAATAAAATGATACCAAAACCATCAAAATATCACCATTGTGCCATTTTACTAAAACATGAGCTTATGAGCTGGGAAAATGTCATCAAGTATGCAAACCTGTCTGTTTTATAAAATATTCTATGGTCTGTCCTCTCCTCCCCTCCACTAATTATTTTATTTGAATTTTTTATTCTATTTATTAACCTAAAATCTGTAGTCTGGCGAACATTAATTCTGTATTTTTAAACAGGTTTTGAAGAGTTATAGCCGTTTTTATTTCTTTTTAAATTTGTATTTTTCCCTGTAAAATTCTTACTGTTTTGTTTTTAGGTAGACAAGTTTAAGATCTAGACAGGGACAACAGATGAAAACTAGCCTTTTGGATAATTCTGGTGCATTTGCAGGAATGCTTATTAATGTGCACTGTTCCTGTCAAATGAATAAATAAATCTAAATCTAAAGAAAAATTCACTTTGACCAGCAGTGTTTCATGGCCTAAAACTAATACTGTGCAATTTGATCTGGACGTTAGTTTATCAGCGGTTATATCGATTGTTAACAAATATAGTACAATTATTTAATGTTTTAAATATTTCCCTGTTGGTTAAATAAGCAGCAGAACAGAGATCAGAATAAATGGTGTTTTACATTAAACTTATAACCAAATTCTTCCCCCTTTCACAAAACCGGAAATAATCTTTTATTGACTAATAATGTCTTTTATTAGCTTGGACTTTTCTAACCTTTAATAACCTTTTATTAGATTCTGAGACAAACTTCATAACTCTGTTCTCCAGGATGAATATTTGCTAAAAAAAAAAAAACATGATTGTTTGATGTCTCTTTCTTATCAATCTCTTTTGATTCAGAGACATTTTATTTGTCTAAAAAGGCCACTGGACTATCAATATCACACCTTAACATTCTTTATGCTGCCTCCTTTTCTCACACGCAAACATTTTTCTTGCAGCAGGTTTTTACACATGAAGGAGCACTGTGTGTGGTGTTTTCAGGAGCGCTACAAGGAAACCAGTTTACTAGTTAAACTGGCTGCACATCATTCATGGCTGCTCTAGATATTTACTACCAAGACTTGAACATCTTATATTGTCCTTTTTGACCTTTAGAACCATTAAAGGTTGATCATTTTCATGACATATGAAACACATTGAATGACTTCCCTATCACACATATGTAACCCAGTGGAAACTAACACTATAAAACGAATGCTGAAATTATCACATAGTGCCAATCTATGATTTCTTAAAGGTATAGCACATGGTTGGAATTAAACCATTAAGCCTTTATGAAGGGAACACTCACCAGTCGTACTCTCTTCAACCGTTCTTCAAGCCTTTCTTGGGCCTCTCTTTCTCTGAGAACAGCCTCCAGCCTGTTGATGAGCTCTGCTGCAAACATCTCTGGCTTTACGTGGATGTCCTTTGGTATTTGATACGCACGCTTTGGGGAAACAAACGGTTCATATTATAAGAACCACATTTCTACTGCTCCGTGTAACCATGTCAATAACATGCTAGAGGGTGTTCTCTTAATGCTAATATAGTCATCACCTAATACATTTAAGAGTGGGATTTACATATTAATAGAACACTAGTGGTATTATTGGCTGTTAATTATTAAGTCATGCTATCTTTTCTCTCCTAATTTGTCTGTAAATAAAACAACATCAATTTTTGGGTCACATTCAATTGGTTTTAAACAGCATGAAGACAACCTTAAAAGTTTTGTCTTATAATCCTTAATCACTTGTATCAATATTTGACCCATGTCTTCTGAGGATTAAGGCGAGTTATAGTAAATGCTCAACATATGAAAGCAAATAAGTTTCAGGTGTCTAATTTAGCAAAGAAATCTATTTGAAAAACGAGCTGAATGATACAGGAATACACTCACAGGTATATGAGGTAGGGGCACACGGCCATTGGCTTTGGCACTTTCTTGCATCTCTTTCCGATGCTGCTTTCGATATCTGTACGGAGGAATACCATCTCTGGGGGGGGTAAAAAAAAGAAAAAAAAGAAGCATTAAAAATGTTTTAACTGAGCAAAGCAGATGGGTTATATTGCTTTAGTGTCTTAAAACTGAGAAAAATTACAAAAATGTGTGGATGAGGTGAAGACGAAATGCATTTCTTACACACTGCTGTCGGTCAAGGACATCGTGTCTGCATCGCTGGACATGCTCTGCTGCTCACTGTCATTGGCGCTGGTTGCTGGAGCCCGGGCGTAGCCCATGTTTGCGTAATAAGGGTTTACCGGCTCTCTCCACGGTCTGAGAAGGACAGGACATTTGATCGCTCTTAGATCTGCTCATCTTCTTTGGCTGATAAAAGTTACAATACACTACCTATTGCTTTTCTAAGAGTGACCATTTTTATCTAAGTGGTTAAAGAGGATTAATGAACAGTGATGGAATCAAGCTTTGGGTTGTTACTATCGTTCCTCTTTGAAACGAGGCCCACAACCACACACCTGTACTCCCTGCTGTCCTGCCTCCTCCTGCTGGACGATGCTCTCTGTGGCGCCGTCTGCATCAGCAGACTTTGGGTCAGTCTATTGACAGGAGTATCGCCACAATCTTCATCTTTCTCTTCATCATCCTCTCGATCTCCACTGCCACCCCTAAACATAAAGTAAATGCATTCAGACAAGCAACTTTCCTGACCACTGTGTTAAACACATTGTGAGTATAAACTAAAGTGCCTTGCAAAAGCACTGATACCTTGTGAAACATTTTCACAAATAAACGTCAGGAATGGGATTTTATGTCAAAGACAATGCTCAACAAACCATATGGTGGAATCCGAACAATTCATGGTGTTCCAACTTTTATGAACAAAAATCTTGAGGGGTGCAAAGTCTGTAGTTTTGATTCATCGGCTGTTATCCTTATATTTCCTTCTTAGATTTTCTGGTAAAGCACATTGAAAAACTACGGACTGGCACAGCAATTATGGTGTGTTTTATTGGTAAAAAGAAAACCCAAAGCAAAACAGTCTGATCATCAGCCAATTTGGCCATACAGACCCGCCGTTTAGGGATCATCACTCCGTCTGCTGGCATGGCGAGAGTGCATGCGTTCACCTGCCTGCAAGCGCCGCAGAGGCTGAAGCTGAGCTGATATAGAAATCTGAGGGTCTCAGGGCGGAAAGTCCGTACGTATAAATAATGAGGTAAATATGTTTAAAATTTCACCTTCTGAAGCCGTTACAAATTAAATTCAGCTTATTGGCCTAATTTCAGCACAGTGGCTTGGTTAGCCCTTTCATTGCAGGTATCTTGTATTAATGATGCTGGAAAAAGTTTTAGTGCAGGTGAGGACAGCAGATAGGTCAGGGTTAAAGCAGGGAAAGCATTATGGTGTGTTTACACCAAATGCCTTTTAAGCATCAAAGAGGAATCCAATGAAGTCAGACGCTCTGGACAGGGGATGATCCGGACACTCGACACTTTGGGCGTTGAACTGTTCCATTCTTTTCCTTATAAACAAGAGAATGGCAAGACTTTTTTTGCATTGATAAGTTGGAAAAAAACAATTTAGTTTTAACATGTTTTTAAGCTAGAAAGTTTACGCCTGTGCAGTCAATTCATCAGGATTATGATCCTATGGAAATATTCTGTTCTGATAAGAGCAGCAGACCTACATTCTGACGAGGTGCTGGGAGTCCCCAGTAAAAGCTCACTAAGATGACCAGGCTCTCTGGGATTTCCTGCTGTGTTTCATAGCAGCTGAAAGTTAATGTAAATTGGCGACAGTATCAAAGGTGGAGATCTGTTTTTCTAAGTAGAGCCATTTTGGATTAGAAAATGCTCAAGCTGTAACTGCACCATAGAGCTACTCTCAACATGGTCGAAGGAAAAAGAAGTTCACATGAATGCACACGAATGCACGTCTTAAAAATCAGAGACTTCACAAAAGGTGCACAGCTCTTTTCCCACCATGTTGTTTCATGTGAAGGTTTATTGTGATGTTTTTGGTGATTTTAAAATGATAAATTTTACAAAAAATGCGTCAATGAAATATTATCAGCTACCCACTTTGCATTGAAAACAGACTGGTCAACCAGAATCTGGGGAATTTACTGTTTTATGACGACATAACACATCTGTGAAGGGTGGCCTGTTAAAGTTCATCTCACCTCCACACCACACCCTCATCCAGAGTTGGCAGGTAGCCAGGCAGGGGCTTGGCTGGGCCTGATGAGGGACTCTGATCACTGGGATTAGGCTTGGGGCTCTCTCCTCCTGTCCGTGTGTACTCCAGGTACAGATCAGATTTAAGGAACAAAGGGTAGGTGTTTTCCTCCATCATGGCTTGGATCTCTGTCTTAGCCTGGAACACAGATGTTTATCCTTAGAATACATCATGCATATTGCTTGTTTTGTACTTTTTTAAGCCCAGCCCAACCGTTAAAGTTGTTCTGTGACTATAAGTTTTTATAGAAACTAGCGTTCCTACACAAAAATACAGATAGAATTCATTCACAATCTTGTCTGAAGTTGTTTTTTTTAATAAAACACATTTTCGACGAACAAAGGTTTATAAAACTTTGATTTTGGTAAAGCAGAAATAGTTAGTGGAATATTTATTTCAGCTATTTTTTTGCACTGTTTGCACATTGCAAGGACAGAGCAAAGTCTTCGCTCCTCTTATGTCAAAGTGATTCTTTTGGTTTTCTCACATATTGGGAGCTTCTGATTTGTTGTTGGTGTAGAAGCTGGTCCCTTAGGAATAAAATCTGAGGGATGAGCCAGTGTGTAAACACAGTACGGGTAGATATTTACAGTCTAATTTATCCATATCCTAATAAATGAATCATCGTGAGAATTTTGCAAGTGAAAAGGATTAAAATCCTATTTTTTACAAAGCTGACCGTATTGAGGATTTGTTTTCATTATTGTATCCACTGTTACTTCCATCAATAAAATGAAAACATTAAATGCAGCTTCTAAAGGACTTCAAATAATGTATAAACACATAAAAGAAAGAAAGAAAATCACTTTTTTAAACTGCTGTACTAAAAAAGCGAAAGTGTTCATGAGGCTATGATGATGCCGTCACATGCAGTTTATGCCGTACAGGTACGTAAAGAACACCGCAAAGTAGTAATAAATTGCTTTTATGGGTGCTCTTATTATCACAACAGTACAACAGGTCTGTATTCCACATATGGTGGGAAATAAAGTTCTATGGTTTGTTTATAGCCGTCCTTATGAAGGCACAACGTGTTCTCGTGTATTTAAATGCAGTAAATAATGTGTTAAAAAAGACCCATAAAGTTAGAAAAAAGGGCCTTAAAGAAATAAAAAGTATCTGGAGAATAGTTTACCTCTCTGTACTTCCGAGGTCTTTTCTGAATAAGCTGTAGATAAACAATTAAAAAGTATTTTCATTCTCATTTTCCTTATAGCTCAAAAACATTGCTTCATAATCAGATACAAGACCCAGACAGATCATTTGAGAAAAAATTAACCAAAGTGTAAAAAAGAACCATTTTCATAAACTATAGTTATATAATATAATAATATTGAATCAGCGGTGTTTGGAGGACTTTGCAGACAACAGTGTTTGTGCAGTTTCCTTTAAATCAAATCAGGTAAATTGTGTCTGAAGCCCATTCATGCCGAGCCCTATTATGTAACAGGCAATGACGTGAAAACAGGGAAAACAGCAGTGAAGCGTTTGTCTGGGCTCACATAGTTTCAGGTTAGGAGGCCAAGTGAGGCTAAAAATGTTTAGTCATGAAGCTTTAAATTACATTTATGATGAATGTGTCGATGACAATACAGAGCGTGATAATGTCACATTGGGCATATGTGTTCCTGGGAAGCAGTGTGTTCATCTCTCACACTTGATTTCCCACCAAAGCCTTTTCTGAATCCTTCTAATCCTCGATGGGTGGTGTCTACATCTAGAGCTGCTCTTTGTCTGTCAGACTGGGACCTAATATGACTCCAGAGCAAACCTCTGCAGTATCGAAACAGATGTACAATGTTACAAAGCTCAACCTCATAAAAGTACTCAAGGTTTTTCTCGTCAGAAAATAAGAGTGTTCATTCAGGCACAACACATCCTTAGGATCAAATTAACGGGAAGACAATAAAATGACACCCAAAAGGCCAACAGTTAAAGAGAGTCCCTGTTGGTTTTTCTCTATCCTTTGTAGCCAGGAGGAATCTGAGATAAATGACGCTAGAGTTATGGGTTTATTACAGAATAAACAGACGGAGTGCATTTTATTATCTGAATTCGATATGAAGCAGGTACCGCTATCTACTGATTATGTGTGTAAACTGTGGGAAACCTGAGGATTTACAAATGGCATGGGACAACAAACATTGATTTGGTTTAACAAGAGCAGACAGAATGCAAGTAATTGAACCGACACTTTCTGCAAAATGGTTAAAGTGTCTCCCTTTGTCAAACATTAAAAACATATCTAACAGCTCCGGCATAAGTCCCTGCAGTCAGTGAAGCAACGCTGAACAAAGCTTACTAATCAATGATATGCTTCAAGCCTTCAAGCATCCTCTGTGCATCAAGAGTTCAGACTGGGGAACGCAAACACTGATCCATTAGATGAAAAACAAAATTCAGAACAGAGAAGATCATATCAGGACAACCAAACTGAGTGGGTTAAGTGCTTCCACTAGTTTACCAAGAATCAAACCTAAAGTTGTGATAAGCAACAATTTACATCTGCAATTTAAATGAATATTCTAAAACTAAAGAAAATTTGCAATCTGTTTATTTCAGGTTTATGTTTTATTCAGCCAAAAGGCATACATATACCTGAAACAAACAGAAACAAAGGTCAGTAAATTAGAAATGCCTCATTTTTAAAAGTGAAGCAGAGTACCAAGACTGCTGTGGATGCCAAATGTTAAGAGAATTAGAATAAGTCAGTTTTTCTAAATTCTGCCAAAGATGGGAAGAAGACTTCTTCAAGAAGACTTTACAAAATGAAACCAGGTGAAACTAAAACTTTTCCCCTCTAGGAGTTCTGGATAGAATTTTTTTTATCTTATATGCTATATGCTTACATATTTTTTTTATAAATAATTTTGGTATAATTACAGCTCTGATTGGGTTGCTCTGTCATCTAAAGGTATGTTTTACAGTCTCTAAATTCCAGTTAACAATTGTTTATTAAATTAGTTGACAATTATTTCAATAATCAATTAATCAAATATATTTTTTTAACGAGTTTAAACTGATGGTGCATAAGGTCTGCTAACAACTACAAACAAAAAAGCCCTTATGGAGACAACCGGGACCCAGTTTCTTGTCTTAATGTTCCCTCTGACATTTTTTTTCCTCAGAAGAAAATGTAGCACACAAACCGGGCTAACTTCATAAAGTGCATTCTGCAGCTATTTCAGATGAACATACTGTGACTTCCTCCCTGCCAGCACATCATTAGCATCTGAAGCTCATACATTGCGCCTATTCAAACCAATAAAACCTGCAGAGCTTGGTATTTCAAAACTTTTAAACACTTGCACACCCTGGCTAATCAGCCCCTTTCATCCTCAGGCTTTTTTTTTTTGAAAAGCACAGAACAAAGCTGTGATGAGGCAAACTTAGGTGACATACCCACTCACACCCAAACAGGCCCACAACTAGGGCTGAAACAATCGGATTAATCGTGATTAATCCATTATTGAAATTATCATCAACTAATTCAGTAATCAATTAATCTTTAACTGGAGAATAGAGACTCTAAAACATGATTTTAGCTGACAGAGTAATCCACTTAGATCGCAAAATAATATATAAACATTTTGCTTTCAAGATAAAAAAAAATGTCTGTCAACATCTCTATCCTGAACACCTGAAGTGTCAAACTTTGTTTCACTTGGTTTTAATCTCATTTAAAGTCTTCTTTAAGGAACCTTTAGCTTTCCAAGTATTAATTGATTAATCGAAAAAATAATCAACAGGTTAATCGATTTACAAAATGATCACTAGTTGCAGCCCTACCCAGAACCCCTGTTGACCAGGGAACTCTCCAAACACCAGCTAGTAGAAAATATATTATTCTTTAATTAATTAAATTATATCAAATATACTAACTAGGGCTGAAGCAGCTAATCAGATTAATGGTGATTTATCGATTTTTGAAATAATCGTCAACTGATTTAGTAATCCATTAATCGTAAACATGGAGTATAAAGACTCTAAAACATTCCTTTCGCTGACAGAGCCACCCACTTAGAGCAGTAATTATAACAAAATTGTGAAAAAAATATATAATATTTTGCATTTAAGCTAAATCTTTCTCATCCGTCAATACGCTCTTTCCAAAACTCCACAAGTGGAAAAGTTTTAGTTTCACCTGGTTTAATTCTGTATAGAATTTTTTCTAAGGAACTTTTTGCTATCCGATGATGAATCGATTAATTCGAAAAAATAATCAACAGATGAATCAATAATCAAAATAATCGTTATTTGCAGCCCTAATACTAACATACATATGTGGACTATTTGCAGGGCTACACTGTAGTGTTTTAATCACCTGTTCGAACATGGCAGGGTCTAGGTGAGGCTTTCCCACGCAGTCTCTGATGAAGCTCTTGGTAGCTGCTTTGATCGTCCTGGAGACAATACCGCTTCCATCCACAATGTATTTCCTGTAGATCACCTTGGCCAACTTTGCCCTTTTCTCCTGGCTGGTTTGCCTGAATCCTGAGCATGCAAACCAAAAGTCTACAAGGTCTTCACAACCTTCCTGGCATAGGAAGCTTCTGAACAGCTGGGTGCCTTCCTGATCATCCAGGAGAGAGTGTAGAGACTCGGCCCACTTCAGGTAGGGGGGAGTTGGAGACGCCGAGCCCTCAGGTTCGTAGCCCAGGTCCAGGTCAGGGCGACGTGGGGTCGCAGACGAGGAGGAGGGCGTGTAAATCGACGGGTCTCCCATTTTAGACGAGGGATATCCTTGGGTTTGGGAAAGGGCGCTTGGACGGCTGTTGACCGACTGGATCGGAGGGTCCAGATCAGTCCCCTCCTCGCCAGGAACAGGAGGCCGAGGGGCATCTTCGGTGAAGTGCGTTGGGCCATTCATAGAAGCCACGACGCCTCCACCGCCTCTGTACCCAATCCCATGTAATTCTCTGACAACGCTCATGTCTCTGATTGCAGAAGAAGGAGGTCAGACCTTCCCCTCTGGCTGCGATTTTGCTGGAAAAGAATTCACCCTAGGATAAAAATAAAAAAAGAGACAGCTTTAGTAATATGATTCTACACAACAGAAGTTAATGTTAAAAGAACATGAATGAATAACACAGACCATGAGTCAAGCTTTCTGTACAGGGAGGTTAATAACAGAGGCTACACAGCTGGCGGGTTCATGATTTTACAAGCAGTCACAGCCATTCTAAAAATCCCTTTTTATTAGCTACAGCAGGTTGGGTTTATTTTCTATCCCAAGTGAGAGTGAATAGAAAAAAAAAAGAAAAAAGAAGTTAAATGGTGTTCCTGCCTGCCAAATAAAAACAATCAGTCTAATGGAAATATACTTCAAATAAACTCAATATTAAGTAAAATGATTCTGAAAAGAAAATAATTTTTGGTTGATGCTTCAAAAGCTCACAAGGTCTTTTTGATCCCACCAAAACTTAAAATTAATTTTTAAAAACACTATAACAAGGACTGTGTTACCAGAATGTAACGTATTTTTAAAAGCATTTTAAAGCCTTCTAAAAGCTGGCCCCTAAAAACGCAGGTCTAAATATCCTGCAAGATGTTCAAATATTATAAACTCTTGATGGCCACTCAAATTAAACTGCATGAAATGTCCGAGCGAACAGATCCAAAGTACCCATCAGTTCAATGACAACCAACTTTGAAGTTACACATGTTGAAGCTCTAATTTTTAAGCATTCCTAAGAAAATTTGAAAAAAAAAATTTCACAGCAAAAGAGAAAACAAATTATGAAAATTGGAGTCTGGTTTAATTTTGAATAGCTGATCATTTATCTGTTTATTTGATAAATATCAAAAGTCCATTAAATAATGGTATACTTTCTAGCTTAATTATAGAACTAAACTGCCAGGTTTGAGTTAAAATAAAAAGAAAACTGAATGTCTTTTAGTTTCAAACTAGAAATGGTTCTCAGCCCAGTATCAAGCTTAGAAATTAATTGATTGACTTTATTGATCTCACAGTGGAGAAATTTACTTGTTACATTATTAAATATGATATTCTACAGTATTAATTAATAATAAAAAGACTATTGCAGTCAATTATTTGAGCAGATACCTTCACTTAATATTGTTAATCATTACAAAATGTACATTTATTTCTGTTCAATATGTTTTTTTTGGTGATTTTGCATTACAGCTTTTACAGAGAAAACTAAACTTCAGAACATTTCAGCAATCTTATTTCTTAATCTACCATGGGTTCATTTAAACAATTAATCTATAGCTTTTAGAATGAAATGTGAGAGAAAAGCTAACTTTTAATGTTCTTTTACATTAAGGAATCTGTAACAGCAGAGGATTCATTTCAAAATCTTAACCAACATAAATATGGAGTTATTAGACTGAATGTAAAACAGCTAATTTAACCCATAAGCAAGCGACTCCCAAGTTTTTGAGAAGCGGCTATGCAGATTTCTAAGCTGAGATTTATGGCTAAGTTATTGCTGTTTGTTTACCACCAAACTCGCCAAGCACCGCTTACAGCCGGCATAGCCTACTGTTTGCAAAGTTAAACGTCATTTCCCAAACAAGCAACTAGTGTTAACAAGCTAAGACAGCTAACTAGCCTCGTAGCAATGCCAGCAGCGATGCTTTGAAGTGAGAATCTCATTCATGTTGGCCTGCAAAAAACGGTGGGGGATGGGTACCGCTACAAACTCTACAAGACAGGCCTGTGTGCAACAACACTCCCGACACAAGCGTGAATTATGCAATAAATCAATAAAAACTCACGCGAAAGCAACACCAACTTTCTAAGTAAATAGGCCCGATAACAACAGGCTGGTGGAAGAGTGGGAGACAGGAGAAAGCGAGGGCAGCTTTCCACTTCCAGCGGCAGAAGCAGCTAGCATCGCTTTGAGCTAGTTTGTTAGCTTCCTCGGCTAGATGCGTTAACGTCCCGTGTTTTCCTCCTAAAAGTGTCCTTCCTACCGTTTCTGGAAGCCCGTTCCCCTCGGTCCGCTGCATCGGGGATACTGGCGTGAACACGGTGCTCCAAAACGCGGCATGAGGATCGCTTTCAGATACTAAAGCATTGAGAAGAAATATCCCGTCGCCTTGCCCTCAACTCCCCATGGTGGTTTAGTTTGAGAGCAATAATAGAGAGAGGGACGGAGTACGTGCCGAGCACGCCGACTGAGGAGAACGTTCAGAGGACTGCAGGAAGCCGAGCGATAACACCAACCTCCAACAACTAGCAGCTTCTCTCTCTGCTTTATTAAAAGTTAGGAGTCAGGACTGAGATTTATCACTTTAAAATATATATGCAAATATATGCATACGATAGATATTAAGGAGAAATGTACAGTCTTTATTGTTGCCCATTTGTACAAAGAGCACAACAGGGGTATAGAACATGAACAGTTGCTTTTCACCTCTTAAAAATCATACATATAAAAAGCAGGTGCATCGTAATAAAAAAATGAAAAATACATTTTAATAAATGTAATCGAAACAGTGATTTAAAGTTTCTAAGAATATACATTTCTCCCCCTCTATACATACATATATATATATATATATATATATATATATA